ATTTTTTTTTTTTTTTTTTTTTTTGCCATGAGATCTCACTATGTTGCCAAGGCTGATTGCCAACTCACCATCTTGCTGCTTCAGCCTGCTAAGTAGCTGGGATTCCAGCTGCATGCCATCTCACCCAGCTTGTATGTCTGTGACTGAAGCCATTTGGGTAGGTGTGAATAGTGTACCAGTGTGTGTGATCTGCATTTTCCTAATGTCTATCAATTGCTTGTTCTTCTCATTCTATTTCTTTTCTTAAGGGAATAAAATACAGTGACACCTCACACTGGAACTAAATGGTTAATTCTCACCCCATCTCCGTAGGTTTGTCTTGCTTCATCTCCTCTCAGGGACAATATTTACCCTGGAATATCTCCTTAATGGCAGGTACGGGACAGTATTCACTGTCCTTCTGAGTGCTGGATAAATCTGTACACTCTTTTAGGAAGTATTCAGAAAACAATCAGAAGTAATCATGTGTGTGTGGCTCTCTCTTAGCCCTACGCAACACTGTGGATGTTCTGGCTGTAAAACTTCTAGAAGCAATGTTTTACCAGGAAATGTATTTGCAAGTGAAGTTCCTGCTGGGATTAGCAAACATGGAGAGACTCCATAAACAAGGAGCATCTCTGTTGGAGGAAATCATTTTCACAGCACAGGGAAAAGGATTAATCAATGCAAATTTATTTATTATGTACTCATCAGTCTACTCGTTCCATTCAATTCCTTGAGAGTCAAAGGTAGGCCCTGGTCCAAGAGATTCAGAGGGAAACAAGACATGGTCTTTGGTTTTTAAGAACTCTGATGAAGGTGACAAACATCTCAAATGTAATATAACATGCTAAAATGGTGAGAGAAAAGAAGTACCAATGGCTAATACATATCTGATGAAAGGAGACATAAATTCGTGCTTCTTGTCCCCAGCCCATTCTTGAATAAATTACTTCTAAAGAGACATAAGCCAGTAAGGCCAAGAGACTGTGAAAAGAGCAAATATTGGAAGCTCAAAGATACTCAGGTAACTGGCAATGACCAAAACAGACTCAAGAAAGCTAACTCTGAACTGGCAAAAGACAGACAAGAAATAACCTGATTTACACACCAGGGCTTCCCAAGTGCTCAGTACTGGGTAGCCTAGATATATCTTGTTGAAAAATAATTAGACTATCATCATTAACCCATTATTCCCTCCCCACTCTTAAGATTTATTCTGTGAATCAAGTAAAACATAAGTCACAGTTAAGCTCTTAAATCTCCATCCTTATCATACTTATAGTTCAGCTCTTCAACCTCCCTCCCTTATCCTATCTCTAAAAACTAGCATCCTTTTCTGGAAAACCCCTGCTGGGGGGTCTACTCCAAAATTACAACTACTAGAGGCAGCACAAGTAAACAGTTTAGCAAAATCACATTACCCTGAAGCCCCACCCTCATCCACAGAGCCTCCAAGGTTTTATAACATCGCATTCACATCTAAGACAAGAAAGATGAAGAAGCATCTGGAAAAAGAAAAGAGGCAAAACAGGAAAAAAGCTACCTGGAAGAGACAGATTATGAAGGGAGAAGAAAACTTGGGGAAAAAAAAGCTCTGGTGATAAACTATTTAAAAAGCACAGAAACATCTTAAGAACAAAAACTCATGGCAAGGGCAGAGGATTTAGCTCAGTGGTTCCGATGCTTGCTTTGCAAGCACAGGGACCCAAGTTCAATCCCCAGTACCAAAAAAAAAAAACAAAAACAAAAACAAAAACCCATGGTGGAAAGCATAGTAGCACACACCTGTAACTGTAGCTTAAGGAGGCTGAGATAGGAGGATCACAAGTTTGAGGTCAGCCTAGCCAATTTAGTGAGATATTATCTTAAAATAAAAGGGGTAGAGATGTAACTTAGTACTGTCTGGGTTTAATCCACAGTACAGGGGGGAAAAGAGCTCTTGGAAAAAAAAAAAAGAAAATTGTGAATTACAAACTCAATAGAAAGGTCAGAAGATAAGTAAATCTCCCAGATAGTAAAACAAAAAGAATAAGAGATGAAAAAAATCTAAGAGAAAAGATTAAAAAAAAAAAATCAATGGGCCAGAATCAGAAATTCTACTTCTGAATAAGAGTTCTAGAAAGAAAAACAGAAAGAAGAAAATAAAGAAATCAGAAAGAGAATATCTCAGAACTAAAGGTTATCGAGTTTCTGAAGTCAAAGGAATCACAGAGTGACCCAGCACAAGTACAAATAGACTCACACCAAAATATATCATCAGAAATGTCAACACTGGGAATAGAGAAATATCTAAAAAATTCCAGGGACAGAGCGGAGTCAAAGGATCAGGACACAGAATGGCATGAGATTTAACAAATGCAACTCTGGAAGCTGAAAGACAATGGGACCTTCAGAATTCTGTGGGAAATGATTATCACAATAATTACAAATTATCACTGAAGCAAAAGGGCAGTCACTGATGCGTTTGGAGCTGGGTATAACGTTCAGAGATGAAGTCTGGTGGGAAGAGCTGGGTCACCGTGGCTGTGGTGCACGTGCATCTCTCCTCCCTTGATCCTCTCTGATTCCTGCTGCCATGCCGTAAGTTATTTCACCTCTGTCATGCTGCCCTGCCTTGCACCAGCCAAATATGGATGGAAACCACTGCAAACTGCGAGACAGAAATAAACTGCTCCTCCTTTGACTTGTGGATGTTGGGTATTTTGTCTCAGCAACAAGAAAGTAACTAAGATAATGTCCTAATTCCAGATACCAAAGGGCATGTGTGCTCTGACAAAATAAGAGAAAAGCCAAGGAAGGATAAAATATAAAACTCAAGAACCAAGAGTCCCAGCAGAAGAACGAAAAAACACCCTGGCAGATGATGAAAGATCCTGAAGAAAGCAGTTTCGCCACAGGCCAGAAGTTTGCAGTCCAGACGACAGCAAGTCAAGTTCTAGAAAAGACTTTGTTAAGAAGACCAAAATGAATAGAATAGGTAGTATGCTTTCATATCCTCAGAGATTTAGACCAATTGGAAGGTGGGTGAGGATACATTATTAAGCACATAGAAAACTAGAAAAAAAAAATAATGCAGTCAATATTAACTTCCCAGAAAATAAAAAGTTTGTTTAGGAAAGGAAAAACAATCCCAATATGCTACATGACTCAGCTATGACAAGAGCATTTATATGACCGTGATAGTATAAACATAAGATATTGAGTTAATCAATATTTTAAATAACTATATTGGAAAAATGAGAGGCTAGGAAGTATGTACAACTCATGTTGAGGGGATAAGAATTGTCAAATTCTAATCCTGATTAGTGACATACTGTATTAGTCACCTTTCCATTTATCCTACGTATTAGGATAAAATACATAATATCCACAGCTTAATGAAGGAGAGGTTTATTTTGACTCATGGTTTCAGAGGATTCAGTCCATTGCTGGCTGGCCCCAAAGCACAAACATCAAAGTAGAGGAAAGCTGCTTGCTTCATGGCAGCCAGAAAACAAAGATAGCAGGAAGAGAGCCCAAGGTTAAGGGGTTAGGGAGTAGAGAGTCCCCAAGGTCACACCCCTGACCCACCCAGACACACCAAGAAGTGTAGTTTACTAATCTCCTAGGTGGCTCTCAAGCTAATTAAATTTGCAATCAAGATTAACCATGAAAGGGCAGGGGATTTATCTCAGTGGTTCCGCTGCCTGCCTCTCCAGCACAAGGTCCTGAGTTCAATTCCAGCTACCAAAAAAAAGCAGTTAGAAAACATCGTTTAAACAGAAATTAATAAATTGGTAAAGTAAACTAAAAAAAAAAGATTAACCATGAAAGATGTTAACAGATAATGCCTAAAACGAAAAAGATCAAATGTAGTCATGTTAAGTATATGATTTAGATGAATGGAAGTATGTTTCAAAAGAGGAGCTGAAAGAAGAATTATGAAATTAGGGGAGGGTCAAGCAACTGTCCTTTTTTTCTAACAAGTTTATAAAACCACTTGATTCTTTAAATTATATGCATATATAACCTTGATAAAAATATAAACTAAATCAGAAAGAACTGGCAATCGCTGAGACATAAAAAAATAAAATGATGCTGTCACTACAGTGAAAAAAGGAACAATCCCATTTTCATTGTCGATGGGGATGTAAACTAGTACTGTACAAACATTATGAAAATTCCTCAAAGAATGAAATTAGAAATTCCCTATGGGCCGGGGATTTAGCTCAGTGGTTCCACTGCCTGCCTTGCAAGCTCAGGGAGCCGAGTTCGATTCCCCATACCAAAAAAAAAGAAAAAAAGAAATTCCCTGTGACCCAGCTATCCCTCTTCTAGGTATCTTCCCTGAAGAGCTAAAGACATCATGCAATAGTGATACATGCATACCAGTGTTTGTAGCAGCACAGTTCATAATAGCTACGTCCTGAAAGCAGCCTGTATATCCATCCACGGATGACTGGCTAAAGAAAATGTGGTGTTTATACATAATGGACTACTACTCAGCTATTAAAAAGAACAAATTTTAGACATCTGTAGGAACATGGATGCACCTGGAAAATATAATGTTGAATAAAATAAATCAGACACAGAAGCTTAAATACCACATAGTATCTCTCATTTGAGTGAGGCAAAGTACAAAGAGCACAATAAAGGATGGCTAGAAGGAGATAAGGGGACAGATCTCTGGCAAATGGGAAGGGAGAACCTGGGTGAAGGGAGGGGGAGGGGAAGGAGTAATAAATAGAATAAAGATATTCCATGTACGGGAACCTAATAACCTCAGCAAATGTAAACACTATATGTCATAAACTTGAGATAAGATTAATAACATGAACCAAAACAAAAATGGAGAAAGGGAATTAGAGGAGGAGAGAAGGGAGGCAGGAGGGAAAGGGAACCGAGCTGTATTACGTACATGTACCATTCCCTCAGATGACTGTAAAGCGAATGTACTGCAAACACCTACTAATAAAAAAAACTCAATTAAAAGTAGCAAAGGCAAAAAGGTGGAAGTAACCGATTCTGAATGGAGAGGTAAAAGGGCTGAGGTTTCATGGAAAAAGCACCCTACTGAATTTCTAAGGAAGAACTTGCCAAGTGAAAAATGGAAGTGGGGACAAAATGGATAAAGGCAAAGAAGGATAAAAGGAACACTATGGAGTTCAGACTTGAAGCATGAAGTGAGTCAGGGGAAGGCTCAAGGGGGCAGCGAAGCCAGACGGTGGAGGATCTGGAGTGACCTCTGAGGACATGGACTCAATCCTGCATCTGAGTACAGGGAAAGCAAGTTTGGACAAACGCCAGGCAACACCTTAGTAAGCGGGGAACTCACACAGCCTTAATGTTTGCTTCGGGAACAGGTGGTGAGCCATTACCTCAACGCCAGTCCTACTAGCAATGTTTCTGACACCAAAACAGAAGGTACCTCATGGAAGGGTCTGGGAAAAAATCATGGCCGCAGCTCAGCTGACCTACCTGAAATGTAGCTTGTATGTTTGTTCTGCTTGTCCTGAGCAACCAGCTGCTTGTGCAGTTCTTTCCCGATCCCATTTTCAAAATTCTTACAAAATTGTTCTGTTTGCCTGAAATGCCCAAGAAAAGACAGAATCAAACCATAGTAGGAAATACGCGATTTTTAGGTTCATGGCCAAGAAATCATGCACGGAGCCTTGGGTTCTCATGAGCATATCCTGGAAGCTGGGAATGAAGTGGGAAAGTACCTTTGACTAGAAGGACAGGAGTCAACCTAAAACAGATAAATCTAGGCTGTCAGCATGATCGATAAATATCGCACAAAGGAATCTGTACTCTATGGAGCAGTTTGGCATTAAGAGAAGGACATAAGATTTGGAATAAAAAGTGTATCTTTTTCAAATTATGTGACACTGGACAAGTTATTCAGTCTGTCTGAGATAATATCACCTTTTAAGATTAAAAAGTACGAAGATGAGGATTTAGGACAGTTGAAAACATAATAGTTAGTAACCGGTAGCTGTTAATTTGCTGCCATATTGAGGAACTTCAAGTGACTAACAAGGAATACTTAAAAGTAGAGGCCTAGATATGAACAGTTCATCTGTTTCTCTGTCATTGTCCAATAAAAGGCTTTGTGATTCTAATACAATGTGAGTTATCTGCACCCCCCAAAAAATTCTCATTATGGAAAAAGACTATGGAACCACACTAGTCTCTAATAGCTTTATTTAAGTCACTTTTTGACCACATCCAATGTCATTATTGGGGGAGTATTCTTTTCTTCTCTTTTACATCCAGTATTATTTTTAAATTCCATTATGTATTAGCTTCCTAGAGCTGCCATAACAAAGTATCACACACTGCAAGGGGCTTAAAACAAGGGAGATTTATTCTCTTAGTTCTTGAGGCAGATATATAAAATCAAGGCAACCACAGGACCACATTCTCTCTGAAGACACTAGGGGAAAATCTGTCCCGTGATCTTTCTTAGCGGCTGGTGTTGCCAGCAGACTTTGTTGTCCTTGGCTTGTGGATGTTGACAACCCAGTCCCTGCCTCTGTCCTCACATGCCTACCTGTTTCTCTTCTGTCCTCGGAGGACACCAGTCATACTGGATTAAGGACCGACTTCACTCCAGAAGGACCTCACCTCTTGGCCTCTGCTGATGACCAGTATGGGCTGGCAACGTCAAGTCTAAACCTGGCATTCTCACTTCTACACCATTTCTGGTTGATGCAGGTGGGAGGAACTCTCACCGCAGGGCTTGGTCAGAACTTCACGTATGAAGATCTATTTCCTGAACTTGATATTGCAGAAACTGGGTCCTAGGCTCTGGAGACTCAAACAAGTGACAGACATTGTCTGAAGCTTGGTCCACTACTTGCCAGCCTCTCTCGAACCACCACAACCACGGTCCTTTGGGGTTTTGGTGTTTACCTGAACTGGCTGGCATTCAGGAGAGGCTTCTGTGCACTGAGGTACCTCTGAATGGTGTCTTCAAGTTTGGGAATAGGCAGCCTGTGGAGACAGCAAAGTCAGGGTCAGGGCGATGATAAATGCAAGGGGGTAATTGGTTTCATAAGCCAAATTGGTAAACTGATTGCTGGATAATTAATTTCCCTACTAAAGAAGCAACAATGGGAACTGTTCACAAACTGGAACTGAAGGATGGAGGTGGGGCTGTAGCTCAGTGGTAGTGCATTTGCCTCGCATGAAGGAAGCCGTGGATTTGACCCCCAACACCACACACACACACACACACACACACACAACTGCACACACATGTGTGCATACACACACACCTCCCAGAATTTACTAATGTGTCAATGGTAACTCTACTTTAAAGTAAAATAAGAATATAGTTATTTCAAATAATAATAGGTTCAAAATGGGAAAGCAGAATCTGTCCTAGGTACTCCTGTTTCCTGGCCACAAATACAATATCTGTACTAACACTGTGGTAGTACTGAGTAAATTCTATGCTTAGACAAAACAACTGCATTTTCCTTTCCCAGGATAAACAAGAAAGGTTCTATTTTCAAAACTTTCATGTGTGTGTGCACGCGCACATTTGTGTATATTTGTGTGTGTATATAGATGCAAGCTTTGATTTTTTTGTTGTGGGTGGTGTTGGTTTGTTGGGGGGGTTGTTTGTTTTTTGAGATGGTGTCTCACTAAGTTGCCCAGGCTTGCCTTGAACTCAAGATCCTCCTGCCTCAGCCTCCCAAGCAGCTGGGAGTGCTGTGTGCCAGTATGCCCAGTTCTATTTCCTATACATTTCACCACAGAGAATCATCCAAGAGTGAAGCAAAGACCTGTCCAAAAGCCAGGCCAATATGTGGGCTACATTCACTAAAGGGAAGAGCTGATCACCAAGCCATGCCCAGCCACCTACTATGAAGAAATACCAGGTATTTCCATGTGCTTAAAAATTAGGACAACAGGGAGCCTGCTGACCCCTCATTCTCTAGCAGTGGATTCCGAGGATGGCTGTGGTAGGGAAGTAACTGGTCCATGCTGAAATGAAAACATGGACAGAGTGCAAGATGTATGTTCTCTTTCATCTCAATAGTTTCACTGAAAGATATATCCCCAATATTAAAACAATAGTGGTTTGGCAACTCAAACTTAACACTGATATTTATGTATACAACCTAAATGTATGAGTCATTTAGGAACACTGAAACATTATCCACAAAGCATAGTTTAAAAACTCAGTTTATGACGTACTATGGTTCTTTTGCTTATTTTCCAAAGCATATTTATCCAAGACATAATAAAAAATAAATCCAAATGGTTTACAGCTGTTAAACTGGGCATGGTGATGCATGCCTATAACCCTGGCACTGAGGCAGGAGGACCACTATGAGTTTGAGGCCATCCTGGGTTACATAGCGAGTTCAAGGTCAGCCAGAACTACATAGTGAGAAAATGTCTCATAACAATTTATGTACAGCTATTATGGACTTAAGACTGCCCTAAGTAACCCTTCACAACACTTTAACACTGACTTATATTCACTGACTCACACAGAAAATCATATAATTATAAAGCTGCTTACTTACAATTTCTCAGGACTTTGTTTCCACATCAGGAATATTAACAAAAATTTACCTTTTTACAAGAAAATTCTAGGGGCAGGGATTTAGCTCAGTGGTTCTGCCACCTGCCTCGCAGAGGCAAGGTCCTGAGTTCGATCCCCTGTACCAAAAAGTCAGTCAATCAATCTAATAGAAACTAAGTTTTCTAGACGGAAATAAATTGACACAGCATAGTTTATACACAGAAGTTATTACTGTGGATACAAAAATCATCTGTTTTCTATAAAATACAGTAAGGACAGCTTAACAAACATGCCAGCCTTCCCAGGTCTATATTTTTGCCTTACATAAAATGTCCTCGATGTAAATGCCATATAGTGTCCCTGGATATTCTGCCCCTGGGCAGATAATTGCCATGATGATGAAGTTTCTGGCTCACTGTGAAATGAAAAAAATACGTACAGTGTGATACTTAACCCAAAGCTAAATTTGCTTCTTTTAAAAGTCTGTCCTTAATTCTCAGATTATTTTGATGGGGTCATTAAAAATCTTTCTTTTTAAAAAAAGCTTGATAGCCCAGTGTTCTTCTCCTAAATTGTACTGATCTGTGAAATCTAAAAGTATAAGAACTACTTACTGACTGACACAAGAGGCAGAATGAGGCTCAGATTCACACTAAAGCAGGACCCCAGTTCTGCCAGTTATTCTCTAGCAGTGTTATTCTCTAGAGATGGCACAACTCCATTTCTGGGAAGTTCGCCTCTCCAATACACTGGACATGTTAGTGACAGACTGTGCTGGCTGCGCTTGGAACTTGACGGGAGCATTTCAGATCTCTCCATGAGGCAGTTTTCTCCACCTCAGAGTCCAGAAATGGAGTCATTGGGCTTCTGAGGGTTCATTAATATACATGGAGAACTCAGCAAGGTGCCATTCTAGTCTCAAAAACCTACCCTCTATTCTGTAACATCGCCAGCCGCCTCCTCTCCTTTCTAAAACTATTGTGAAAATACCACCTGTCTTTGGATTTATCCCTAAAGAAAGCCACTCTCTAACTTCTGGAAGGGACCAGTTCCCACATTTCCCCCACCTGCCATCACTGTTTAACAAGTCTCTTTCCTTTCAAAGCCAATCATACAACCTCTTCCCAGTCATCTCTACCCAGATGCAAACAGAGGTGAGCAGTAAACCAGCTCCCCGTGCAATGGAACCCCGAATTGTAGCATTTACTAATTTCCTTTCTTTTTTTTTTGAACTGGGGATTGAACACAGGACCTCCCACTTGCGAGGCAGATGTGGTGCCACTGAACCAAATCCCCGACACTTAGCATTTACTAATTTCTGTGGTGGACAAATACTCCCACCATAGCCAGTTTCCAGCAGTCTACATGATATCACTGAATGAAGAATGGGAAATAAGTGTACAGTGTTGGTTCTCAGGGTTACGGTTATGGTTATATTTAGAGGGCTCGCATCAGGATCTTTTTCTGAAATCCCTTCTCTGACCTCTACTAGCCACAGAGTAGGCATTTAATACATGTATGTTCAGGAAATTCACTGATACTCCATTTTTTTTCTTTCCTAGTACTGAGAATTAAACCCAGGGCCTTTGCACTGAGGTATATCCCCAGTACTCTGTGTGTGTATGTGTGTGTGTGTGTGTGCGTGAACAGGGTCTAAGTGCTAAATTTTCCAGGCTGTGCTCAAATTGGTGATCCTTCTATCTCAGCCTCCCAAGTGCTGGGATTTCAAGGGTGCACCACTATGCCCAGCTATTACTCATTCTTTTATCCTGTCTTCATTTGGTTTATGTTGCTCTAACCAGAGACTGAGTAATCTGTAAAGAAAAGAGATTTAATCTTCACAGTTCTGGAGGCTGGAAGTCCAAGATCATAGTGCTAGTGTGCTGTGAGGGCTTCCTGCTACATCACAGCCTGGCACCTCATGGCACGGCCCTCATGACCTGGGCACCTCTTTTTTCTTTTTTTGGTCCCGGAGATGGAACTCAGGACCTTGCACTTGTGAAGCAGGCACAATGCCGCTGAGCTAAATCCCAGGCCTCACCCATGCTTTGCGTTTTTTTTTTTTTTTTTTTTTTTTTTGTACTGGGAATCGAACTCTGGTCCTTGTGCTTGTGAGGCAGGCAGCAGAACCAGAGCTAAATCCCTGGCTACCTGGGTACCTCTTAAGGTGCCACCTCTCACTGCTGCACTGGGGATGGGGCTTTCCATACACAGACTTTGGGGGACACATTCAAGCTGCAGCAGTCTCAGAATCACTGCCACCTCTAGTGGCATTTACTTGTATCTTTTCCCAGCAGACTGGGAGATCCTAAATAGATGCTTGAAACCGAGATCATGTAGAAGACCCAGACAGCATCTCCACCAACCTTCTGGTTTTGATGTCATCTTCTTTGTCTCTCCCCTCATTAGGTCTTCTTTCCCTAAATACCTGTGTTTTCTCAACACCAGGTCTCTGCCCTCTTCTGACTGCACATTCTGTTAGTTTACTCCTCTAACTTGATAGTTTCAACCTTGGCAGGCTCCTCCAAGCAGGTAGTGATGGAGAAAGCTGAAGAAGCACAATCCTGCCAACTGTGGATCCATTCTTTGTTTAGAGAGAGCGTGGTATGTCGGGAAAAGGGAGACGCTTTAAATCAGACAAACTGGAATTCAAAGAGTTCCAGATGGTAGATCAACGCTTACACAGGGTAATGGGGAGGAGGGTGGGATGAGACTACTACAGTGGACCCTTGACTTACAAACTGGATCAGTTCCCCTGGGCTGGTTGCAAGTCAAAACTGCTGAGATCTGGATGTTTACCTGGGTACACGCTCTAGGTAACAAGAGTCAGAAGATGAATCTTCCATTAACCTAATTAGCCCAAGCTGTTCGTATGTCAGGCTGGTCGTGACTTGAGGGTCAACTGTAGTGAGAACATGCTTGTAGGGAGGGATAAATGAACTAGTGGCGATGGTTGCACTATTCTAAAATTATATGCTTAAAAAAAGCGGATCTTATGGCACGTGGACTGAATTTCTATGAAGCTATTACATTTTTTTTCTCAAGTCATTTTTCATCCCTGTTAACAGCAGGGCACAGTGGCTCAGGAACAGATGTGGGCCTTACCACTCACAGATGTGTGGCTGTGGGCTCACACGCACCCTGAACCTAAGCTGCCTTGCCTGTAAAATGGGGGTTATGCTTATGCACCTCTGAAGGTCTGTGCAGATTAAATGAGGCAATGCATGTCACAGTCACAGAACAGGGCCTGGCACATAGCAAACACTCAGTTCTCAAATCCTAGGGAACCAGACTTGGCTATTAGCCTGTTCACTTCCCTGGGAAACTAGCTCATCTTCTCTCCTCAGTGCCTAGCACAGGATTTCCCACCTCCATTGTGGGACTGCCCCACATCCATTCTCTTCTTCTGGCAACGGCACCGTGCTTTCCTGGAAGCTTTGCTGCTCCAGTCTTTGTGGTTCAAGAGCTGACTTTACCTCAAACTCCTGGAAGTGGGCTTACAGCTTACTGGTTCAGATCTAATGAGACCCAGTGAGAGCCACCAAGACTTAATTACAGGCCTTTATTGGAATTTCTAGGAGGGGGGAATCTCTATTTAGCTTTAGCACTGAAAGATTCGGGTGTAAGTTATGCCTTATGTGCTGGCGGCCACTTTGTCACCATGAGGAGACAGCCTGTTTGAGAATGAAGGTACACAGATGAAGAGTTCAGCAGGAAGACAAAACAAGGTCCTGATGACATCATTTGAACCTCTTGATCCAACACAGATTTTTTCAGCCTATGAGCTATTATATCCCTATTTGCTTGGGCCAGTTTGAAGTGGAATTTCTATAAGTGCTACCACAAAAGCCCTCAGTGTAACAATTTCCTTTTCAATGAGTGTTCACAAGCCATTCTTCCAGTCAACACTTATTCTCTTGAAAACCAAAGATGTGAATGCAACTCCAGTCTCTGTGCACTAGCCTGCTTCCTCCAAGCTTCTCAAAGAACGGCAGAAGTAGCCTCATGTGCTCACCGCAAAGCCTAAGCTCCCTGCGATGTATTCACCGTGCCTTGGAAGAAGCAGAGGCAGGGTTTGGAGAGATTTTCAGGGCAGTTCCCCCAACTCCTAGAAATTTTCTGCCATAACACAGATGGAGGAAAAGTAAGCACCAGACAGATTCATCTCCTGTGTGAGTTACCCTCAGTCACCTGCTATCAAAGCAGTCTGCCTCCCAGCAGTAAGCACCCTGGTGTTCTTCCTGCAATAACACAGTGAAAACGCCTTTCTATGTTTACCAGATTGAGTTATAAATATCCACAGAGTTATTATTCTGGAAGTCAGGATGACTGTTCTAAAAGATCTGTCCTTGGGGCCTAGAACATTATAGTTTCTGTGTCTGTTATTCTCCACGCCCTCTCCTGCCTTGCACTTTAGAAAAGCTGCCCATTATGTTTGGAACACCAGTTAACACCTAAAGTAGTAGGAATTAAAAGAAAAGCCACAGATAAATAACATTTATTGTGGATCAATTATAGACCTAACATGATGCCTGGTAATGAGCCCTTCTCCCTGACCCGAGGTCAATTTCAATAATTTAAGGGCTAAAAGGTGATTCTCTGGCTGTGCCTAACATAAATCTCCTAATTTCTTTTTTTGTTTTGTTTTGTTTTTTTGAGACAGGGTCTCACTATGTAGTTGAGACTGACCTGGGATTCCCTGTGTAGCCCAGGCTGGTCTTGAACTCATAGCAATCCTCCTGCCTCAGCCTCCCGAGTGCTGGGATTACAGGTGTGCACCACCACACCCGGTTTATCAATCTCCTAATTTCTGATCACAGCACATATTTCAGGTGCCTGCTCTTCACAGGCGCTGCCCTGTCCTTCCCTCATTCCTCTAACCCAGGCACCTCCATACTCATGTAGCAATGGTTCTGTTCTGATACATTCCACACGTACAACAGACACTTGATTACAACCACTATAGTACTGTAATGTCTAAGAACTATGAGACAGACTCAGCACTAAGTGCTCTCTATCAGGGTGTTTGATTCTCACCATCTGGAAAGGAAGCTAATATTATCTCTCCTTATTTTAGGTAAGATGACTTCTTCATGGACATGCATCGAGGAAGAAGCAGAGCTGGAATTAAAAGGCAGGTCTGAGAGTCAATCCCCAGCAACACACACATACTCTAGGGCCTGATTCCTATCTTGTAATCTTAAGGATTATAAGATGCCGCTTCCTAGTTACCGCATTATAGCTCTTGTTTACATCTGCTCCACTATACTGCAAGTGCCTCACCATGGCTGATAGGTCTCCAAATCCCTATCAATGAGTGCTTATTGGATTAGTAATGTGAATAAGGTCAGGCTGATCCACACTTTGTTTCCTAAGGACCTGCAGTTTTATAGTCCAAGGTTATATCACAGACTTCTTAAAATAACATCTCGCTGACATATATAGCTAAAAATGGTTACAATGAACAATTTTATTTATTTATTTATTTAATTTTGGTATCGGGGAATCGAACTTAGGACCTTGTGCTTGCGAGGCAGGAGGCAGCACCACTGAGCTAAATCCCTGGCCCAAAGTGATCAATTTTGTTAAGTATATTTTACCACACTCACCACAGACAAAGAGACAAAGAGAGTGAGAGTTTATAATAGCTAAAACTTGGAAACAGCCCAACTGCCCATCAACTGGAGACTGAAGCCTGGATAAAGATGTATTGTTTATAAAATGGAGTACTACTCAGTCATAAACAATGAGAAACTGGAGATATTTATAGCTAAGTGGATGCACATTAAAGCCATACTCTTAAGTGAAAAAAATAGGACATGTGTAAATATTGAAGTTTCTCTGGTGTGAGAAACTGAAAGTGTAAATAAGGATCAAAATTTATAATAGGTAATGTGAAATAGGAAGAAAAGATCCAAAGGGGAAGGGGAAGTGGTAGGGTAGGGGGAAGGGAATAAATATGAGAAAAGGAAAAAATGGAAACAAAGTCTTTGAAAACAGGGAGGGGTGGAGGGGCTAAAGGGAGGGCAGGGGAATGGGGAAAAAATAAGAATCAAGATATATTATATATCAATATATATCATTTGTATATACAAATTCCCAATGATGAATGTCACATTGTATACCTAAGATGTGCCAATAAACTTAATGAATAATAATAACAAAGAAAATAGAATAAGCAAGTGATGGTGCAAGGGTTCCTAGTGGAAAGAGTCCAAGGTTCCCTGGCAGCATGATAATTACAAGGGTATTTATCTCAGGCATCTTATCTCGACATGCGCCTTCTGACATGACAGGGGCAGTGGCTCCAGGAAATTAACAAAACAGCCCAAAATTACAGCCCAAGACTTGCAGATACAGAATTTGAAACTCAGTTCTACCAGACTTCAAAGTCAGGGGCTTTTCACCAAGTGAGACATCAACACGAATGTCAAAGATAATATACCTTATTAGCTCAGAATCTCAGAGACAGCAGAAATTTCACCTCTCATCTAACTCCTACTTTATTGACGAGTTAATGGTTGCTTAAAAGGTAATGAGTGTACTTCCAGATTCCTACAGATTTGTGTACCATGTATGGAGTTGGTCTAAACAATCTTGAATATTCTTTCCAGCTTTCCAATTGTAAAATCCCAAACGTCCTTCTGATCTTAAATGTGGGTGGGGCCTTGGGCTGGCCTGCCTCAAAGTCAGTCTCGATTCTGGGCTTGGCAAGTGAAGACGGGTTCTGCCAGTCCATAGTCACCTTTCCCCTACATAGCTAGACATCTCAGACACACGCTGTCCCGAGGAGGCAGGTCTCAGGCTAATCCTGCAGGCACACAGACCCACTTTTTTTTCCTCTACTCTCTGCCAAGCTCAAATCATCTCATTATTTAGTTCGTCTTAGCTGTCTTCGAGATAATTTCTCAGGAACCATCCTTGGATGCTGCTGCCGAGAGCAGGGTGAGCAAGGATGATGCAGAGTTAAATAACTCCCGGCTATGGAGGAAAACCACAACACAGCCACTGCGGGATGCCTGTGAGACAATGTTCTTTTCTTGGGCCTCCAGACCCTGGACCGGGGTATTCCTGATGGCAATTTGGTAAGAAAAAAAAAAAAATGAGAACGGTTTTTGGACAAATTTAGAATTTGGCCTCAGGAATTAAATGGTGAATGAATGGAGGGTACAGTTCAGGTTTGATTTTAGGCAGTGAAGGAAATTTCTAATATTGAACGGGAGAGTTGATTGAATGAATGGAGGGTACAGTTCAGGTTTGATTTTAGGCAGTGAAGGAAATTTCTAATATTGAACGGGAGACTTGTCAAATCAGAAGCTGGAAGACCACAGACTGGTGAAATTAGAAGGAAAACTGGACTCAGAAGCTACAGTGGACATGGAGGGGTAGAGCAAAGGTGAGGGTGGACACGAGGGGTGTGCCTAAGGGGACTGAGGGGTTCCTAAAAGCGCAGGAGGCAGGAGGAACGAGGAGTGGAGCTCTGAGGGCTCCGAGTAATTCGTGGACAAGATGTATTAGGAGTTGAGAGAGGGTAACTGCTGTACCATGTGTCAGAAACTGGCTACTTCTATCAGGGCCGTCATTAAGTACCTCGGGGGATCCCTAGCTGGGAGGTTAGGGTGGTTTTGGAGCTACGCAGGTAGGACATTTTTCAGGGAGAAATGTGAGAGATTCAGAATACACGGCGGGAAGATAGGTTAAACAGAGAATTTGAGGAGGGAATTTAGGAAGGATTCGGAAGAATCTGAACAGTAAGGGGGTTGGTTCGAGAAGAGAACTCAGGGTGCTGGAGTTCCTGGATTGGGGCCTGGGGCTGTCTCCAAGATAGAGACAGCTCCGTGCCAGTCCTGCCTGAGTGCAGTCAGGCGCGGGCCGACCCAGGGCTGGCGGCGGGGCAGGGAGCCCGGGCTCACCTGGGCAGGCTGTCCTGGTAGTGCATGGTGGGCACGATGCTGTGCTGCAGGTACTGGCCGGGCCCGGAGCC